TTAGTTGCTTTTAGGCTTTGCCTCCTGGATCCCAGGTATCAAAGCAATTTATTAAGAATACCATTAACTTTATTTGGACTATAAGAAAACATTCTTGAAAAGAACAGGAATTAAAACCAAGATCCATGATCTCTCTATTCTGGTGTACTCTAAATCTGGGCTCTACGTCCCTAGGGAACTGTTCTCCATCATTTTTCCAAGTTATGAAAGAGCTACATATTGCTGCTCTCCTGGCCTGCAGGAACCCTACAAGTGGAATGAGAATGACTTTTCTTTAACCTGGTCTGGAGAAAAAGTAACAATCTATTTTATGCTATGACACTTCAGGTAACTCCCTTCCAATTGACAGTCATAACGCCATAAATATATTTTGGAGCTAGAGTTAATCTCATTATTCATGATATCAGGGGTTAAAGATAACAGAAAGCCACCAAAAATTCAATTATCAAATTTTATGTATATCTATGTTATATATGTGTAGAACAGTTCTGGAAGAATATACAAAAAAAAAAATTGATGGCAACAGTTGCCAACTAGGAAAGTTCCTTATGTGAATGGGGGACACAAGAGGGAGGGACATTTACTTCTCAATACATACTCTTTAGTCCAAATTTTGTTTTGTACATATATATTACCCTCTGAAGGCTAAATAAACAAATTAGATAGCTTTTCATTTTATCCCTTTAATTCTCTATCTCCTCACTCCTATCTCTGTCCCCTTTATCTCCCATTCTTTCTACCTCTGAAAGCCTTCACCCACCATGCCCAAAACAAGCAAGCTATTAATGAACTAAATAGTAGCCAGAGACTGAGCAAAGAACTGCATGCAATGAGAAGAGACGCCAAGTGGAACCAGGAAGTTTTTCAAGGTCACATCCCTTATCAAGCTAACCCAACACACCAAACAACTCTTAACCTACTTAGAAGCCAACATGAAACAACAAATGCTTTGCCTTTTCATCTTGTGTAGCATTCAGGTCAAACATCCTAACTTCAAAATCAACCAAACAATTCTTTCCCAATCAATTGTATCGTGTAAGAATCTACTCCAAAGAGATCTAAAGCTAAAAGTATTCCACCCCCGAAGGAGGCTCTTTGTCCAAGGAACTCGTGCTGTAACAGACACTTTATTTTCAGTCTCAAATCAAGACACTGAATATTCCCTGGTCTCTAAAATGCAGGAATTATGAAGACAGAGCTCATTGGAAGGAAAATAAACCTGTAAATCCTGTTAGGCTTTGCACCTCATTCCAAAGGACTTTACCCCAAAACAGTACCATTAGCAATAACCAAGAGAGCCCTGAAAGGGAGAATTATATACAACAGAATCACAGTATGTCATTCAAAATAACTCCCAGGATATCACAAAAAAATCAGGGCTCCACTATCTACCATCCTCACCATGGAGGAAGCCAACTCATTTTTACACTCCATTTGTGAACTCACCACAGCCCTCCTTATAAATATCTCTTCTATAACTTAGATTTGCTTCCTTCTCTCCAGGCCTCTCTTCTTCCAGGTGTCCAGTAGATCCATCAATATTCCTTAAGGGTCTCCCAAGTGTCAGGGACACAGAGAAGAGAAAGACTTGACCTTTGCTCTGAAGGAGCAGATAGGGAGATGAGACAGTTAAACAAGTACACCATAAGGCAGTAAATGTTGTACCTGAGCTCAAAAAAAAAAACTGTTCCCACTAAAGCCTGAGAATACTAGGAGGTATTCCTTGGATGTTGAATTGAATAGGGGTTTTCCAAACCAGAGAGGAGAAAACCATTTCAGGCAAAGGAAAAATCAAGTATGACTGTACAAAGGCATGGAGCTGACAGGAATAAATCAGGAAGAAATTCAGTGTGGTAAGAATTACAAAATCCTCCTTCATGGAGTGGCCTTTTTTAGAAATGTCTCAACTTCTCAATTTTGAACTTGAGAAGAAAAGTCTTCATATCTGATAGTAGATTATTTTCACCACTATTACTATATTTCGTTATTACAAACATGCCTGTAAGGAGTCATGGCAGAACCCAATCTCCCACACTTGAAAACATAAAGAATATGGTTGAAATAACCATGCCTAGTTGACTCTATAAGTTAGCAGAGCCAGAGAAAAAGAACTGACTACAACACAGGGCTCTTTCTCAGATACAGGATATGACGACAAAAGCCTTCTTTGCTCCTCTCCCTGAAGCTGTGGCCTTAACATCACCACCCCTCAGTCTTCTTGTTCAGGCAGCTTCTTTTTCCAGCCTCAGTCTGTGCTGCCAGGCATCCTCTTCACCTCATTCAGAGGTCAGAGGGTAAGAAGCTACAAATGTGTTGGAGCCCACTGACTCCTTATCACTCCATCTCCCATGCCCTCCCATATAATACAAACCCACTAACACTCCACTGAAGAGTTGTGACTGGTTTATTGTATCCATGTTTAGTTTACTAGTTTCCACTTGTTTCATTTACATTCCTGTATTTGCATCTGCTTTATCTCCTCCTTAAATTATAAGTTTTCCGAAAGCAGGAATGAAATATTCCCCAACACAGAGAAGAGAAAGACTTGACCTTTGCTCTGAAGGAGCAGATAGGGAGATGAGACACCATCTCTGTATAGAACCGCACTCGATTCAAGCAATACTGTGGAAAAACATTGCAATTCCATAGGTTTAAACGGGAGGGAGTATAAAGTGTAACTTGGCTTAGGGCTAGAAATAAGATGGCCATATAATTTATAGTCCACATCCTGATACTTCTGAGAGTGAAGGCAGCACTTTCCATAACCAGCATGCGCAAATTATAAACCAGGTCCGTCTCAGGGAAAACAGGCAGATGGTCACCCTTGCTAAAAAGGTCATTACAAATAGATGTGAATTACTCCAGAGCTCTAAGAGAGGCAGGCCAGGCCCCTTCAGTAACTGATTCCTGAGCTTGCAGTCTGAAGGATCTGCACCAAATAGTGCCCATAGCAGAAAGCCCAGTACCAGGAAGATCTTCCTTCTATCTAACTCAAATCCTTAAAAATTCAAATTAATTTTATTTTTATTACTCTCAGGGCAACGGAGAACAATGTCATAGAAAGGTAGCTTCAGAAAAGAAAAAAAACACTACCCTACAACCTCACTTTTGGTAGGAATTCCTTCTTATTTGTTGGACGGCTAGTTCTCCATCCTTCGACTGAACAAAACTCAATCTGGCTGGCTCAGGACTATAAAAGCCAAGGATTTTGGAGTGACTCTCAGTGATAACATAGTTCATCTTTAACCTGCCCCAGATCCCCAGGAGCTTTCCCAAACCAAACCCAAGGAAGAAATGGCACCTGCATGCATATTTTTGAGACCGGGAAGCTCTTCCCTCAGCCAAAACTATAGCTGCAGGGGACATGAGCTCCCACCTCTCCCCACTCTCAGCCCCCAGAGTGCTGATTCAAGCCCACAACAGAGCTGGGCTGACTGGGAAGACTCAAGGAACAAGGGAGCCTCTCTTTCTCCATTCCCTTCCATCAGGATGATGACATCCCAGTTGAGAGCAAGGACATTGCTGACTTATTTTCAACAATATGAAAAAGAAGTTTCAGATGGGGATGGGGAAGGGAATAAGGATCTAGACCCAGAACTGAGCAGGAAGGCTCCAGCAGCTCGTGCCCACCAGTAGTTACATGCCCACTGGCATAAGCTCCTGCCTAGGGGCTGATGGTAGATGGAAGTCAAATGCTCCCACTCACTCACCACCATCTTTCCCCCCTGTGTAGCTGTGTGTATATGTGTGTGCCCGTGTGTGTGTGTGTGTGTGTGTGTGTGTGTGTGTGTGTGTAATGTTGTAGGAGTTAAAAGGAGGTATTTAAGAAGCATTGTATAAGGACAAGGAAACCATTTGATTACCCAAAGGTCATTGAAATAATGCAGACAAAAGCTAAAGAGCAGACAACCCTGCCCCAAGCGATCTTGGGCTAGTCATTTCACTTTCCCCAACTTTGGTTTCTTCATCAGCAAAATGACACAATAGAGTAAGATGGGTTATAAGGTTCTTCCTCGCTCCAAGTGTTGAACATTTAACTCTATATATTTCCTGAAAAAATGTCTAAAGGAAAATCAGTGAAGAGAGGCAAAACTCCTCTTTTAATTTCTACTTTAAAAGAGAGCATTTTGACTCTAGAAATCATGTAATTTACCACCTCCACTGGTATCACTTTTTCTCCCCCACTGACCTTCTAGTTTTGCTGATGTCAATCATAACCGCTGCACTGGGAGTCTCATAAAGCAATAACACAGACAAATTAATTTTGCCAATAATGATACTAACCGGCACACTCCGTTTGCAATTCCTAGCAGTAAGCCTGGTCATAAAAGTGAAATTCATGTTACTTACAATCTAATAAACCCATTGCCTGGATAGAAATACATTACAGAATATTAATGCTCACCAAATTCTTGCAGTCTTTCAAATCCCCAAGTGTCATGAGGGATATTCTCGTCTAAAATAAAGTCAATAGCTTGAAGGAGAGGTGGAATGGATAGAACCTCACCCACCCACACACTCCTCTTGACTATATCAAGAGTCAAGCTTTCCGGTTTGCTCACCTTAATTGTTATAAATGCTAAGTGTGGAAACCCCCTCCTCTTAATGTTCTGTGTAAGTGTACTGCAACTGCAGGGTGCTCATCTCCACTGCCAACTGGTAATACATTAAAGAAAGCCAGATTGTTATCCACACGCAAAATGAAGGTGCACCCCTCCTATACCTATCGTAAACTACACTGGTCAGCACTCACCTTGGGGAAATATGCACTGCACCCCTCCAGTTACCTGGAAAACGTTGCTAAAATCGACAGGAAGAAGAGAAAAAACAATGCAATTCAAGTGCTGACTGTTGTACTCATGGGAGGGGGGAGGAGGACAAATCCAAGCCGGGAAGTCCCCAGTGGTGCCTGCACCTGGAGGTGACTGCAAAGGATGGATGCGGGGATGAGGAAGTGCAGGGAGAGGAAAGGACTGGAAGATAGGTTGCAAACTGCTCACCTGTCCGTACACCTTGATGGGCTCGGGGTGCAGAGCAGCGCTCCGTCTCCTCCGGAGCTGCTTCCCGTCCGCCCCCTGGGTGTCCCCGCGCGCCAACAGCCGCAGCTCGCGCGCGTCGCCCTGCACCACGAGGAAGCCCCGGTCCTGGGGCAAGGGCGAGCGGCCGCCGTGTAGCGTCTGCGTCCAGACCTCGCAGAGAGCCACGGGCGGCAGCAGCGCGACCAGGGTGAATAGGAAGAGTCGCGACTCCCTCCTGCTGCTCGGTGTCGCCATGTTCCGGCGAACGCTACTGCAGGTGGCGCCGCCGCCAGGAGAGAATGTGCAATGCGAGGCCAGGAGAGCGGCGGGGCCGGGGCCGCGCACGCCGCTCCGGGTGCTTCCAGGCCGCCCGCGCCGCTCGCAGTCGCCCCGCTGTGCCTGCTGCCTCTGCAGCCCACCGACCCGCTTCGCTCGGCCCGGCGCCGTCACGTGTGAGGCGGGCAGCCGCTTCCTCTTAGCGCACTTTCTCTGCTCTACGGCTTCGGAGGCGACTCCGGCCCCTCCCCCGCCCAGGGATGGGGAAGTCAAGGCAGCGAGCGCTCGCGATGGTGCGTCCCCTTCCTCCTCGCCGCGGACACACCTACTCGTTCACCCTGCAGCAGTCAAGAGTTGTGCGGGGCTCGCTCATCTCCTCTGGGGTTAGTTGCCTCCTAAATCGTGTCGAGGTCGTCCTAAACCGTGATCAGCCTCCTTTCTAACCGCACAGCCCCAGTTCAGCCACATGACCACCGCCACCTACCCCCGCCGCAAACCCACCTCCAAGTAAGAGCTGAGAACCAAAGAAAATTAGTTCGGAGAACACGGAGCGTACATTAGAAGAGACCGCTCCCATTGTGAAACCCAGAGTGTCAAGTACTCTGGGCCCCCAAATGTACTTGATGTGGTCACAGTCTCATACAGGGCCCCAGCACAGTGGTTCGATCATGACCCCTCCAAAGTGACCAAGCACAGAGCTACTTGATCTCAGCCATGAAATGGACATGTAAACCAGTCCCTTCAGGCCACAGCCAACACAGGGCAAGTCCTCTACCCAAGGGTGTAAAGCTTGCAAACACCAAGATGTGGGGAGGACACACTTTAACCCTAAATTCAGCTTTAAGATCTAGACCTTCTGAACTACAAGAGATAAAACCTAGGCTGTTGGAACTGCTTGAGGCATAGCCAAAGGAAATATTTTTCGCAGGTTTGTGGAAGCAACCAAAATATATCCACTGTGGTCTCCATACTAGACTTGCTAAGGACCTGGCCTCAGATTCTGCAGTCCCCATCTCCTCCCACCCTCGCTTTTTCAGTTTTTCTGTCCATCTCAGCATAATCACAGAACTACCCAGTTCTCCCCTCCAAGCAAATTGCTTATCCCCTGGGAAAGCCATTGAACGACTGCCAGTTCCTTCTCCTCATCTAGATCAGCACTGTCTTGTCACCTTACCAGGAGTGTGACCTCCCAAGACCAGCAACAAAGACATCATCTGTACCCTTGTATAATGCCCAAGGGAAAATGAGAGGAACATGGCTAGAGCCAGATCGCCCTGTAGATGATTTAATTATTGTTTGTTTGTTTTTTTTTTTCCTTCAACATATATTTAATGAGAACCTTCTCTACAAAAGCAAGTGTCAGAGTCTCCGCAGAAAACAGAGACACAAGTCCTTGAAGTGTGGATTTGGAAATGAGGAGCTGCTTTGTCCACACAAATTGATGGCTCCAGATTCAGATGGCAATTTGCAGGGAAGGATTAGTAGGGCAGGGCCAGCCACTTGCTAATTTTTATTTTGATTTTCAGCTTGGATGCGGGAGAACTGGCAGAAATGCTCAAACATGGTCAACTTACTCTTTGAAAGCTGTCCTCTGTAATCATTATCTACATTCCAAGCCATTCTCAGGTGGATAATCAGTAAACCCCGAGACTCTACCACATGGCTTGATAGAAAGCACACTGAATTTTGACTCAGAAGGTCCACCCTCTAACTTTGGGGACTTGGCCAAATAACCTCTGTGAATTTCAGTTTTTTCATCTGCAAAATAAGGACCTAAATCCCTACCTATCACACAGAATTGCTAAGAGTATAAGATGAGATAACATGTATAAAGTAAAATCACTATGCAAATTGTGAAGGCCCCAGATAGTAGTATTGTATGCTGGTGGCATTGGAGACATGTATTCTTATTCTGGCTTTGCAATCAAGTTACTGTTTGATTTTTGTCCTGGTCATCTCGCCTCTCTGGGCATTGGTTTCTTCATATGTGAAATAAAAAGAGACCTTGCAGCCCTGACCATTCCCCACCCCCTTCAGAACACCCCACCTATGTATGAGATTTGAGCAGTCACAGGAAAGGCTGCCCAGGACAAGGGTCAGAGCTGAATTGTGCAATTGAGTGGGGTGTTCCTCTTAGCTTCAAAACTAGACTTAGGTTGTAAACAAGCCACCACTTCCTCCAAAGTGACATCAAGTTGGGGTGGGAATGTAGACAGAAGGCAGTACCCCATCTCCCTCTACCCCAACCTGCACAGCCTTGCTCTTGATGCTGCCCAACATTATGAGGAAAATCAACTTGCATAGAAATTTAATACTAGACTCACAACTGTGTATTAAAAAGTTGAGCCTATGGTCAGACTTCAAACTGCCCTCCTCTGTCCTGTCCATCCTAGGCTATCCTGAGCTAGGAGTGGAGTTGGGGCTAGGGAAAAACCACCCAGAGGTCACTGTATCCCACATTTTTATCCAGATGGTCATGTTTTAAATAGTAACAAGACCAGTCATGAAGAGAAAGGGAAACAAATCCCCAAAGCCTAGCTGGTCCTCTGTCTGTTCTCTCTCCTTTTGTGGCCTTCCCAAATGCTGAGATTTGTCTGTTCACCCTCCCTCCAGTCCCTGGCCTGACAACTATCTATCCTTCATATTGCAAGAGGCTTCCCTCTGCATCTAGCCTAGCTTATATCCCCAGCTTTAAGGCTCTAAGTCCCCTGCAGTCTTTGATACTCTCTGGTCATATTGCTTATTTAACCTCATCTTTCTCTTAAACTACAAGCAGCAGGAGAGCAACACCAGGTCCATCTTGCCCACATCTATGTTCCCAGTGCTCAACATAATCCCGGCATATGGTGGGTGCTCAGTGATATGTATAGAATATATGGATATGAATGACAGGAAGGAGTGACATCCCCACTTGCTTGTGGTAAGGGTTGGGGAGTGATTAACGGACCAATGCAGTTGAATTTCAGAACTTTTCTTACCGCCATTCTTTCAAAACTGGACTCTAAGTCACAACCAGACCTCTGAGTCACTGAAGCAGAAAAGAGAACTTCTAAAACTTGATGTGGTGAACTTCATTCCTTCTTCTACATCGCTGTAGTCAAATAACTACCATTTACCTCACCAAGCAGGGTAAGATAGAAATACCCTCCTGCCCCAAAGAAATAATTCTCCTACTGCTGCCAAAAATTCCTTTAGGATATTTAAGGCAAAATCCAGGATAATTTATAAGGTTTAAAATATATATGCACCAAGAACATAGAATAAGTGACTATATTCTCACTCTTGAATAAATTAAATTCAAAGAAGAGGTTCTGGAAAGAGTAGTAACTTACTTTGCATAGTAGTGATTTACATTTGCGTAGCATTGTAAGGGCATTATCCATCAGATTTCATCTCACAGCAAGCCTTCCAAGTGGGCCAAAGCAGGCATTACTGACCCCTCTATTTTACAAATTTTGAGAATTAAAGCTCAGAAATGAAGATTATATGACTTGCCCAAAGTCACACAGTTTGTAAGGGTTAGAGTCTAACCGAGGTTCTCTAACCTTTTCTACCACTTCTGACACCTCCCTTAGGAAGAGAGGAGAAGAGCTGGTGTTTCAGGTCCTGGGTAGAGATAGGCAGTGAGAACCTGGAAGGAAAGACCGAGTTGTTCAAGTCCTCACCTCTTTCACAGCTCTATCCTATTTTAAATCTTATAAACCAAGCTGTCCCTGCCCTGGGTGCCTCTGGAGGTGTGATGCTAAATTAGAGAGTAATGTTACAGAGCTCATAAGTCAATCCTGTTTTCTATACTTTTCTAGAAGATAAATTTAATGAGGGATTTGGTTTCAAATTTTCAAATGAGGGATTTTGGTGCAAAATCTGTGAGGGAGCACAGGCCGATTCCACTATTTACCCTGGGCATCTTGTTTTGACCTCTCAGGAACAACTTCTTGAACTTCTGTGACAAGAAAGTATTCAGACCTTTGTGAGTGAAAGGAAAATCTAGAAAAGTTTCTTATTGTTATGTAAACTAAAAGACAAACTGTCCTGAAGTAAGACAATGGTTTGCTGTGGGTCACTCAGAATTATCTCCTTCCCTATGAATATAGATTAAGACTCTCCTTCCCTGATTTGGAGTGAATGGAAGAAATTAAAGCTGAGATTCGTTGAAATTTCTGAATAAATACATATCAAAGGCTTATATATTTTCCCCTTAGAGCCTTTGCAGTACAATAATTGGAAGAGCACAGCTCTAGGCACTAGAGTGCCGAGAGGCATCCTCCAAGCAGCTTGGACACAACTCTTAAGTGTTGCTTTATAGTTCAGCAGATGACCTAAAGTGCGCTTGGGGTCATCAAGACTGAGAAAGTAGATGCCTAAGCTGACTTTTTGGCCCACTTCTCTGTGATACATTGCAACAGGGGCCTAGGATTTTTTTCTCCTTCCATTTATCTGCACCAGGAAAAATGAAAATAAAAATGCTCCCCCACCCCCAGTCATCGTTTACCCCGTCAACTAAAAGGCTACTTCTTGATTCTGCCCCGATTCCTCTTAACCATCCCAAAGCCCTGCAACCTTGATGTATGCCTTTCTTGAGATAATCATGTTCTGCCTTCCATTATAGCAACTCTCTTGGTAACTACCTCCTTTTCTAAACTATAATTAGGTCTTTGAATCTATCTTCCTGTCTTGCAGTTAATAGATTACAACCTGTTGAATTGAAATAAACAATTTTGGGGAAGGAGTAGAATTCCCCTCATCTCTGTTACTCACACCCCTTGGCAGTTGGTTCTGCAAGGAAGAACACTTTTGAATCACTCCTCCCGTCATAGTATCCATGTCAACGGATGTTAGAAAGATAGCCATGGACCCTGTCAGCACCAGGTGAGTCAGCCTTGCCAAGAAGTGAGTCCTTCCCTTGCAACATACTGTTCTGTATAACTGAGTCATTATCTCATTGCCAACTGCCCAAGGATAAGGATAATAGAATACTAGGATAGGACTCAGCCACTCCCTTCAAGGAACTTGAAGAAAACAAACACGGATAAACAAGAGTAGCAGGAAT